ATTGAGAAGAAAATAAAAGAAAATGGTGAACATTTTTGTATTTTAGTTTGCTTCTTTTTCAACGCAAAATGAAACCGGTCTGGATGCCGGTCTAGATGGCAAAATCTAGACCGCGGTCAAAATCGATTTCAGCCAATCAAATTCGTGAATTCGGTAGTTCCCAGTCCTTGTGAGACACAGCCATATAATAAAAGGCATTATTATATGGCTTGTATTTGCAGCCGATATAATGCGCGATATAATGCGATTGGCCAGTTGTAGGGCATTATTCTCCCGTAATACCCACCGGCCGATTGGGGGCCCCCAAAACCAAAGCAAAAAGCCATATAATAAACATCTTATAGCCTTGAACGTTCGATCTTTACAGGAAAATCTCAAACCACAGCCTTCCCGAGTTGACCTTGCGGTCTCCGTTTGAGATTTTCCTGTAAAGACTTCACTCTCGGTTAATAAGTACTCATGATTGTCCTCTTTACATTCGTTCGGGTCTTCTTGATGCTTATTCCTTACCATTTCGAACTCTTTAAAAAACCAGGACACAAGACACCATGCTTGTTTTGAATGCTGCGATCAACAATAACAACTGGTTTCATTTGCATGACCATAAATACATACAGTGTTGCAAAAGCTTTTGTCAACTAAAATTGGTATAGGTAATCGTATGAATGCGACTACAACTAAGGATTTACTCTGCGAGTGATATTTGAAAATTCTCTCGAAATTGCACGAGCCTTTGGAGAGTACAATTTGAAAGAATTGTTTTAAATATCACGAATAGTGTAAATCCTTAGTTTCTCGAGCTTTTATACGATTACTCATTTATTATATGACTAAAAAAATTACGAAAGCGCGCCCGTTAATTTGCAATGCAATGCAAATTAAAAATTATATAACGTTAAATTAACCTGCTCTCAGCCCTTCACAACGAAGTATTTTCTCAGACATATAATCAGGAAACAGTTATGATTATCGTGAACATATAAGGTTATGATATGGTAATCAAGTTACATCAGTTTGATTTGAAAGAAGAATATTGCGTAGATCAAAACAAAGTTAAATGAATTTTGCTAATCGAATATTAACATAATGATTTTTAGAAGCCATAAGCCAGAAGCCATGGGACGAGCCACCCCTACAAGAGACTAACAAGCTAACAAAAAAAGTTAACAGATTAATATTACAGTGTTTTAGTATGTCGTCATATTGTGTCCAGCTGAACAAAATATTGACATCTGAATAACGCGTTTTTTATCAGCATTTCGCTTACTTAAAGTATCTTTGCCAATATTCTAACCTTAACGGTACTTCGCACTAAAAACCAGGGATGTAGACTATTAGCATTAAAGACTTCTGATAGATTATTATATATATAGTATCAGCCACAATCATGATCGGAAAAAAGCATCTCCAGGATCCAAAAGTAGAGGAGATTTATTTCACAACTCACCACTGGAGGCCATAATTGTTAGCAACAATAGAAATTGCGAAATTTGTTACACTATCTAGAGTAGTATTGTGCACCAGAGTTCTAGTTTACTCTCTTGAGTCTTAAGTAACCTTTTTACTTTGCCATTTTGAAATGAACAAGGGGAAATCAGGATTTTGATGTGTCATAATGACCAATCATTTCCAATCAATCAAGTTTTAACGCTACATCAATTTAAAAGGTGACTGATATATATTAACCGGGGTTTACTAAAAATACAAAGAAATCTTGAGATTCTCCAGATTTTTCTCTGAAGCATGGAAAGCGCAAAGAAGAGAAAATGTTACTCTGGTAAAAAGGAAGCCAATTGCTGAAATAAGCGTCATTTTTTAGTGGTGGCTTTTAAAAAACGTTTTTAAGGAATGCTTTCATTTTGGCCGGAAACCAGGCAAACAAAGAAGACTTTTAATTAATTCATTATTAAACTAGACAAATTTTCCCGCAAAGTGTTGATAAATCCTACATACCGAACAAATTCAGCACTGCCGGCACAGCGAGCTAGGACGAACAAGGTCTTAATGCTTCAATCAGATTGAATACTGTTACTAAATGATAGTTGATTAATGACCCTCTACTGATCTGTATCAAAAATAACATTGTTTTGTAACAATCAACCTGCTTCAGATTCTCAGCGCCAATTTATAAACAGCGGCGCTGAACGCAGTTTGTGTAAGGAATGATAAATTAGTAAGTGGGTATAGTAAGGCCCCATCCGCGATTCGCCGGTGGAATTTGAAAACGGATGTTTCACTCTGAAAACACATCAAATGTTTTCCGTCCACACTACACGGGAGAAATTTGAAAACGCAACAATCACTGGTCATTTTAGACTTACTTTTGAGGAAAAATCAGGCAGGGAAATCACGTGATTATTGTGACTACTGACATCGTTGTCGAAAAGCTCCGTTTTCAAAATGTTTTCTGTCTGCACGAAATCGAAAAGCCGGCGTTTTCAAATCCCTCCAGTTTGAAGAGCGTTTTCGAAAGCTTCGTTTGCGTGACGGATTAGTATGGACGGTTGGCCTAACTGTAGAAATAAAGCTGCGTTTTCAAATTTATCCGGAGTAGTGTGGACGTTGCATAAAGCTAGGCTTCTGTAACAAGCGAGCGATTTATTCGGGCGACCTGCTAATAAGCGCGTCTGCGGTACAGATGAGTTAAGTTAGTAAACGGACAGACGACCTAACCTCATACATGCTTGTAAGAAAATGTTGAAAAATACCAACACCCTTCGACTAGATCTAAGGGTTTACGTGCCTATTCGTTTAGGGAACGTCGCGTGTAAATTAAGCTAAGTTTATGCATAAGAGAATTATAATGACTCTATAATGGTATAATTCATGAGCTGTATTAGTTGATCAACGTTTGATTCTAGTGCTCTTTGGTGCTCCATGCATGAAAGTACCTTTTCATGACCTTTACAAAAGTTAACCAAACCACCCGTCATGTTTAGTTATTCTCACATACCTCCCACTGCTTGCTAAACGAAATCGACGAGTTGGCCTTTACTCATTCGCTCACAGAAATAAACAAAGTTTGGTGCTATGGGTAAACATCTAGCAGCCAGTGTTGGTGTTCGTTTAATCATTGGTAAACAACCTCTTCTAATCACAAGGAAACATCCATTAAAGTTTAACGTATCTTTTTTTAGTGCGAGTATTGATTGTGTATCAATTTTAAGGTAGCTTTTACAGACATTTACAGGAAATAGAGTTTCATCAGTCTCTTACACGTTTAAGGGTGGTAGAAGTAAACTACGGAATAGACCCTCTTTTAAACACCTTAATTATCAAAACCCTCTTTTGTTTATACTTCCGCGGCCGGGTACAACCTGCTAAAATAACCTTGGACGGGATCTCAAGAAAATAACAAAATGTAAAGAAAAAAAAGGCGAAATACTTTGATAATCCCCATCTTTGTGAGCAACTGAACAGGAACACATTTCTATTAAGACTTAAGGAAATAAGCTCGCACTCAGATCACTCAGCAAAAGAAGAAAAAAACAGCTTAAAGCCTTTTTGCAACGTAACTACTGAACTGGTTATTTTGAGGTGAGTGTCGGGAAAGAAACATAATTATATATATTTCAGTAAAACATCCAATCAACCTTTAAATCTTACATCACCATTTGCGACGGTAAACAGAGACAAAAGGTGATTGTCTGCGAACACCAAGTTAGTCGAACAGTTGAAGGCCTTAGGCAAGGTGCAAGTTTTTGAAGGAGAAGGTATGTACTGACAATATTCGCTGTAACTTTTAGATACGGCATTTAAGCTTTGATCATTTAATAATTGTTTCACTTTAATTAAACGCGATAGTCTGGCGTCTATCCTTTTTTATGCTGGCTTAAGTTGACACGTCGAAGAAGCGTTTTGCCAGATCTTCATCTTTCTTTTATCTGGGTTTTCTCTAGTTAGTGGGTTGGTAGAAACATATAAGAATTGAGTGAGCGGGATTTATATTTTTAATAGTTATTTCAGTGCTAACGACGGAGCGCTAGTAGTTGTATATACTGACTGACATTTAAATCATTGAACTTTTTTTTAAAAAAAAGTCTTGACTAAATTTCTATTTAGGTTTCTTTGCAGTAAGGGTTGGCCTACCTTACTAGGGAACTCAATAAATCACGGCTTTATAGCAAACTTGTCTTTACCTTTTTTTTAAATCTTTAACCCACATAAGTCGCCTTGTAGGAAAATGGATGATAAACGCGTCGGTGACCGTCATGTTTGTTCTAAGATCGTAAGCCCGGTTAATGAGGTGAAGAGAGTTATCACGTTATCTAATTTAACTGAGATCAGAAGAATGGCATGAGTAAAAAACATTTTGCTTCGTGTTTAGAACATTGCCCCAATTTAAATACTTTTAGATACATTTCTTTAAAGAAAATTCCTTTTCTTTCAACTTAAAACGTAACCAAACAAAAGGCAACAAGAAGAAAAATAATATATCAGTTATTTTAGTAACGAATTGCTTAGTCGGTGCGTAGAAGTCAGCCAGTCGTTAAAACGTGAACACGTTTGCTGAAGTTTGTTTTGACACTTCGGTCACTCGATCGTTCACATTTTTTCTGGTTGTCATAATTGCTCACCGGCTGTTAAGACGAAAATAAGAATATTAATGAAAATAAAGACATTCTTAACACTGCCGTTCAACTGATTAATAACTTATCTTGTAATGTCACATATGAAGTCATAATCACTCGTGCCAAGCAAAGTAGATTATGGCTGAAGGATCTCATAACATTTCCAACGTTTATTTTTTTAATCGCAAGGTTTAATTGTGCATGAGAAAATCTTTCTCATTCTTAGAAGGCCGAAAACAGGTTTGATCCTTTATCAATTCTCTCAATATGCACTCAATAAATGATAATGATAAAAGGTCTTCAGTATTCACATAAAGCAATGTTCAGCCATCCATACCGTGTTTGAGACTGGTATTTTGTTATAGCCTAGTTTTTCAGTTTTAGCAGTGTATGAATTAAAGATCCGATATGTCATTTATTCAACAAGGAAACAGCAAAAGTTCGCTCAATCCTGAAATAACTGAGACATGTACTAAGCTTTTTATCTCATTTAGACAGCAGCATTGTAGTGTGATCATCAAATTATTAACGTAATGAACTCTTGTTAGATTCACTGAGACATCTACCATCTACCAGAAATGAAGAACCTTTTGATCGCTTTGGCTCTGATTGCCGTGTTTGCTGCTGTGCAGTCTATGCCAGCTGGTAAGTCAGTCATATTGTCAAAACATATCCGAGACAAACATTGGCCTTAGCTTGAAATAATGCCATGAAATTCCCATAGTACATCCTAAGCTCATTGGCGATCGTGTGGAGGCGCAGTGGCATATTTGTTAGTGCGCCCGTCTCCGGATCGAGCGGTCCGGGTTCGAGCCCTGGCCGAGGACGTTGTGTTGTGTTCTTGGGCAAGACACTTAACTCTCACAGTGCCTCTCTCCACCCAGGTGTATAAATGGGTACCGGCGAATTTAATGCTGGGGTTAACCCTGCGATGGACTAGCATCCCATCCAGGGGGGAATAGAAATACTCCTGGTCGCTTCATGCTAAGGAAACCGGCTCGTATGCAAACTTTACGTTAACCTTATCATTGGCGATCAAAAGACCTTCTATGAGGGGAAGGGATGGGGACATGGGATCAATCGAATGGAATTTCACGTTTTAAAATGGTGGTCTGTTATTTTTGGAGGGGACTTTGTAAATAAAAACTTTAGATGGTTATAGTAACTGGATATATGAAGTCTATAATCATCAAATTTACATCTGAAGTACTAAATATGTTGCAGAGAAAGCTAAGGTAACAGTAAAAGCGGAACGGGGTTTTCATAATCCCCTGGGGTTACTGAACCGGCGGGGCGGGGTTTTACATAACCGGAATAAATATAAACTCGAAAGAAAATTTTCGGACGATATAATGTCAAAGAATTTTCCTTTTTTCTGATTTTAGCGAGGGACGGGGTGAGTACAATACTCCCATCTTCTTGTCCAATAGAAATAAAAACGGTGAAAAATATCAAGTCTACCATTTCAACTTCTGTGTTGCAAAATAGTACAGGACATGTTTGATAATGCCTCCTTTATTAGTACCAGCACGTTCTGTCCATTACGGGATGATGCAAGATCGATTCCAGTGGAGGGGGGGGGGGGTATATGTGGCAGGTGGTTGTTGTTGTAAAATTCTGCCCTTCTCAAACCAACTTTACATATCCAAGCTCCATTTTGATGCAAAAGGAGGCCTTGCATGAGAATCAGGTTGATGTGGCTTTCCTCTTAAGAAAAAAGAAATTTCTCGTTTTGTTTCAATGGTTTACTAAGCTTAATCGATCTTATGCCTAAAATGTCCTGCTGTTAGATACCCATGAAGCTAAGGCTCGTAACTACGTTCCAGAAAGCGCCAATGCTACCGATCCAGCTGCGGCTGAACCATCTGAAGCTGAGAATGACCCAGCTCAGAGTGAAGCTGAACCCACTGCCGAGGAAGCCAGCAGTGATGCTGCTGACACTAAGGAGGATGACTCAGCTGCCGCTGATGACAGCAGTGATGATGATCTTGATGATGACAGTGTTGACGAGAATGATGAGGATGATGAAGATGATGAAGATGACGAGGATGATGAAGATGATGAGGATGATGAAGATGATTCTGAAGACAGTGATGATGGTGACGATGAAGATGATGGTGATGACAAAGATGATGAAGATGATGGCGATGATGAAGAAGACGGTGATGATAAAGAAGATGGTGATGACGAGTAGATAATGGTTGATTAGCTAGAATCAGTGACAAATGAACTATTCTAATGCACAAAATAGTGTATGTGTATCATATTAATACCTATTCCGTTTGGAAGATCTAATCTTATACAATGCGTCGCCTTATGGCTCTTTATGATTCAATAAAGAAGCTCTAGTCTACACTCAACTTTGCCTTGAACCACTTCATTTCTTTTTTTCTTAAACTGTGTTTAAAAGGAGGGTTTCACGGTTCGACGCATGTGCGAGTTACAACGTTAACCAATCAGTTCCATTGTTCAGTTATAGATTAATCGGTAGCGTGTAGATGACTGCGCGAAATTTTCCTTTGTAAATCCCGTGTTCGGTAGCGGAAACGTGATGATAGAGGTGAGATTTTTTATTAGAATTCCTTTTCGATCCTTTCGTAACGGTTCCGACTCCATACATTAAGTATGTTTTGTTTTCGTATCAACCACACGTATTTCAGTAGGCTGAACGTAGAATGATAGCCTTTGTATACCCATACGACTACAAGGAAGAGGTCAAGGTATTTACACAGAAAGTGTCGAATTTAGTATTGAATATCGAATTTATAATTTGGCCCCTTGGTGTGATTCTGAACCGGACGCACGAGTTATCTGATTGGTTTATCAGTAGACAATGGAATTGGTTGGGCTGTCGGATGGGTTACATCATAGCTTGCACATGCGCGGAACCATGAAACTATCCCTTTAAAGAAGAAAGTCGTCCTTCTGTAATACGTTTGGGCCTGGTTGTCCAATGTTAGAATAACGTTATCCAGAAGATGAATCACAATAGAGTACATAAAGTTACTACGTCTATGGATAACGTCAATGGATAACGACTCAGTAGGAGGATAGCGTTATCTACCATTTGAAAAACTTGGACCAGCAGTTGGACCAGAGCTAATTCAGTTACGAGACTTACAAAGTCTCTGTGAACCTCTTCAACGTTGCTTTTGTTCTTCATGGGCCCAGATTGTTGCATTGTAGGTCGGAAAGATAATAACTCCAACAGTATATCAGTATCGTTCCAATATCGAGGAAAACCTTAAAAAAGCCTGGATTACACTAATACACTATCCAGTGTTTTGAATCTTAAACGGTCGGTCTGATCTGATCTGGGTGTTGCATGGGCTAGGGGACGATCGACAGGTAGTCGTCTGCTTGATTTCTCGCTTCTAAGAAACACAACATTATCATAGATGTTTAGCGGATACCGCGTTTAGAGAACAAAGTTCCAGGTTATCTCAGCTCCTCGACTTCGACTAGCAGAGTGTTAAGAGCCAGTGCCCATAACTATGGACCAAACAACGGCACAAGTTGAAAAATCGATTTTTCTTATTTTTTGCCCATAGATTGGCCCTAGCTAGTAAACAAACGGACCATAGTTAGTTTCTGCTAATGCAGCTTTTTTGGGGAGAAATTTGCGAAAAACGATT